GACAGCTCTCTCTCTCTCTCTCTCTCTCTCTCTCACACACACACACACCCACACACACACACACACACACAAAAACAAACACACGAAACAATCTCTAATGTTCAACCTTCGCCTGAGCGGAGTTGATGATGTCAATGAACTCGGCCTTCAGCGACGCACCGCCAACGAGGAAGCCATCCACGTTGGGCTTCTTGGCCAGCTCCTTGCAGTTTCCAGCGGTCACTGACCCTCCGTACAGAATACGCGTGGACTCAGCAACTTCGGCGCTCACGTTCTCCGCCAGCCATTTCCTTACTTCCAGGTGCACATCCTCCGCCTGCTCCGGCGTCGCCACCTTCCCAGTGCCAATTGCCCAGACCGGCTCGTATGCCACCACCACGTTCGCCCAGTTATCACCGATGGCCTCCTTGATGGCGTCCAACTGCTGCGCGCACACCTTGATGGTATCTCCCGCCTCTCTCTCATCCAGAGTCTCTCCAATACACGCGATCACCTTCAACCCCTTGCTAAGCGCATACGCACACTTCTCACCCACGAAATCGTGGCTCTCCTTCAGAATATGCCGCCTTTCCGAGTGCCCAAGTATCACGTAGGGAATGCCCATATCCACCAACTGCTCCGCGCTGACTTCGCCGGTGTACGCGCCACCCTTCTTCACCCAGCAATTCTGCGCAGACACCTGAATCTCTTTCCTCAACTTGTCCTTAACCATCGGCAGGTAGATAAACGTGGGCGCAACCACCACCTCCACGATGTCCGTAGAGACGATCTCGCCGGCATTGAGTACGCCTACCAATTTCGAAAGACTTTCCACCGTGCCATTGCACTTCCAGTTCCCGCCGACGAAGAACTTGCGCCCCATTTTCGTTAAGTTGGTTGTCGCGGAGCGCAGCGGATCAAGCGCGAGAGGACGATCACCGGCGGGCGGATTCACGAAAACCGAGGCGACGAAGACGGGCGAAGGAGAAGGTAGACTGGAACTGCGAGAACGGCGAAGTCTGCAAAAATGGAAGATTCGGGAGGAATATATTCCCGCAACACCGCCAAGGTAACCTACCTTCTCTTCTCTCTCTCTCTCTCTCTCTCTCTGTCTCTGTCTCTCTGTCTCTCTGTGTCCACCCACCTCAGCCGAAAAGTCTGTAGGCCGGCGCGCGCTCAGGCAGGTGATGCGTACGAGAGCGGTTTGTACCTACATCATTTCATTTAGGGCCAGATCCCACCAGCCCCTATTGTTCATTTCTAACCGTTGATCTTCGTAGTCGAGGGTGAAAAATGAATATAATCCACGGTAGTGGGATCTGACCCTTAGTGACCCTTAGGGGATCGCCACACCACTCTTCTCGAAATGTGAGGGGGAAAAAAGGGTGTGGCGGGCGCATCTGGCCATGTTATAGCGGGAAGTGCATTCTCATTTCGCACATTTCGGGAGCGGTGTGGCTATGCCCTTATGCACACGACGCACAAGAACAAGGAGCCGGCCCTCAGGGGCAGAGAATCTGCCGGGCTCGAGGTCGATCTGGCGCCTGGGGCCGCATCAAGGTGCAAACGTACGAGCGAAGGACCAAACGTTGAGAGCTCGAAGCGGGGGCCAAGTCCCACCAGCAGTGTTCAGTTTCCTCAACGCCCGAATCTGTACGGGTTTGTGGAGATGTGCAGAAATTGCGTTGAGTTTCCTCAACCGCACATCTCCACAAACACGTCCACATTCCGGCATTGAGGAAACTCAACGCTGCTAGTGGGACTTGGCCCCGGCCTCACCTAAGCGCGGTGGTCTAAGTATAGTTCTCTGCTACCTGTGTGACTGTGGGATCACTGCGAACCTCTGATCATCTGACAAACGGACGGTAGGATTACACAACCCGCCCTTTTGGAAGGGGAGCCAGCAGCCTACTGTTTTGTGATTGGTTGGGGTGTCATGTTGGGGTCGCGTTTGGGATGGGCAGGAGAGGCACGGGACGGGCGTTGTAGTTTTCTATGAGTTTTTTTTCAGATAGTAAACTATAAAGTACACCGGGATTTTCCTCTTCAGTGAATGCAGGGGGAAGGTAAGGCCAGGTTTGGTTTGTCAGAGACATGTCTAGGACCCCAAGGATCTAGTCTGTCCAATAGGAGGAATAGGATGCGGCACACCCATGAACTGTTGAAAGGAAAACCTGAGTACTATTCCTAATGGCACTA